ATTTTTTGGAAACTTACCTTCTAAATGCTAAGAAACACGGTAAAAGGAAATGGCGGAGGAAATGTTGCTGTCAACGTCAACAACTCTTTTTTGGATGCGCCATCTATTCGAGAACGAATAGATGGGTACCTTATTGACGTTGAAAATTTACCGATATGAAAAATTGCCTCACATCCACAGTAAATACCACAAATAGTAGTGGAAGTGGAATAGGACATGTGAGGAGAATGAATTGCACAGGCCCAGCCGTTCCTAATGGCGACGGCGCTGTTAGTCACGTTAGGTTGAGGCTAGAATGTCGTAAACTAAAATTCTATAAATATATAACACTACACTAATCAAGAACAAACAGTTTAAAATTATTTAAAAATAGGTGAAGCTACATTCATGTCGGCAACAGAAGACCATTCTCTATCCTGATGCCGACCAGAATGTAGCTTCGCCTATTTTTAAATAATTTTAAACTGTTTGTCTTTGTTTAGTATACTGTTATCTTTGCTGTTATGTACAATTTTATGTTTATGACATTCTGGGATTGTTGGATAGCCCAAAATTGAAATGTCCCTGAAGATGCTCTAGGAAGCGAAAGTACTATGGACAAAATTTAATCAATAAACCTATGCTCAATATCTGCCTTTCATTTTATTAAAGTTCATTTGTTCGAGCCATGGACATGATTCGAGCATTCAACCATATATCAATCTTATAATTACATTCCTAAAAGTTGCATTATTTTATAAAAAAGTCATACATTCTTAATTTTAATTTCATTATTATAGATTTTCATGGGCCTTCTACTTCTGAGCAATAGTTACATACTAATTTGTGATTATCCTGGAGAGCAAGATCGCAGAAATGCTAAAGTTTACACTTTATAATCTACAGATGGTCCTTTAAGGAAGAGTATTTCAGAAAGTATGGAACTTATAACAAATTAGTACTAATGAAAATGAAAATAGAGAGACCTATATTTGTTTATCAATAGGAAGACCTCCAACACGGCGGGAAATTTTGCCGCCTAAAATTTAGAGCATATTTTTGAATTTGTCGCCTAAAATTCAGAAGTAACGTTTTAAATTTGCCGCCAATAAAATTAGTTTTGGCCCGTCCGCATTTGGCGCTAAAAGCTCTGTCCCAAAATATATCTATAGGACTTAACCTTACATGACACCTCACATGTCACAGATGACAGATGACACCAGGTGATAGCACCAGACAGTTTGTTTACCATTTGAGGTTATTATTTGACACAAATACGTTTTAAAGACGTTTTAATAACAATTAAATTTTATATAGGTATATCTTTATTAAAAATGAATTCAAACAAATTTAGAACAATGGAAGATGAAATGAGCAGGTAAATTTTAAATATATAATATAAAATCCATAATTGTATATAATTTACTGTATTTTAAGGTTTGAAGCAGAGATCTCTGCTGCTCCAATGCTCAACGCGTATGGCCCTGCATACATACCAGGTTTTGGAGCAATACCTCCACCACCAGCACCTCCTATGTTAATACCACATCAAGTTAATAAGGGTGTCAAAAGATATGATCCTATATTTTTAACACCTACTTCTACTCAGTCAGCAGTGGTTTCTGCAAAACCTACTTTATATGCTCCTCCTAAGGCAAATACTCAGTCAATGTCTCAGGCAGCCCCAACACAGTCAGTAGATTTTATTGCTCTTCAAAATGAGGTAGAGAAAAAATTAAAGAAGTTGAAGAATGAGAAAGTTAGTGCAGAATTGGCTATTTCTCAAGGTAGGATAAAACTATTACTGTAGAATTTCTTTTGCTATAAAGTTTATATATTCTCACAAAGATACATTAAATACACTTATATTGAAATCATTCTCCACAATCAATCCAAATAATCCAATCCAATTAAATGGGATTTGAGGTGATGTAAATCTTTTACTAACAATTTTAGTGTAGCAATAAAAATTAACTAGGGTAGAACAATGGTTGGCCTAGGAACAGATACTAATATAAAACTATAGCTAAATAGAGATGGGAAATAGAAGTGCAAGATCGTAGAGGATGAAGGGCGATAGTGGATGCGGAGAAGACTCACTCCGAGTTGTAAAGTCAGTGAAGAAGAAGAAGCTAAATAGAGATACATCAAAATCATCAGTACAAAGTAAATGCTTTTATATAAGTAAAAAAATATGAAGTATCATCATTTGTGAGCTGTGAAGCTTTTAGCTGCAGATACAGCATTCATTGCACATATATTAAATTCCTATATATTGATAAGATATAAGAATTTCTAATGGCATCTTAGATCTAGATCAAGATTTATCTAGGGCCTCGCTCCCTAATTGAGTTTACCAGATAGTTCCTTCTTGTAGATTGATAATTTAAAATCATTCAAAATATATAATGTTACTTTTATTTTATGATTTTAGGTAAAGCTAGCAGTGCACTACAATCTTTTGGTCCTGATGATTATAAAAGAAAAAGTACCAAAAACAGAAAGCTGATGAGAACAGCTGGTGGTCAAACTTGGGAAGATTCATCATTGTCTGATTGGCCAGATGATGATTTCAGGTACAATAATAAAATAGAATTGTTTTCTTTATAAATATGTATTGTTTGATTTTAGGATTTTTTGTGGAGATCTTGGAAATGATGTTACTGATGAGCTGTTGACTAGAACTTTCAATAAATTTCCTTCATTTCAAAGAGCAAAGGTTATCAGAGATAAAAGAACTAATAAAAGTAAAGGCTATGGTTTTGTAAGCTTTAAAGATCCTGCAGATTTTACTAAGGCCATGAAGGAAATGAATGGTAATGATTTACTTTTTTGTTTTTGGTAAATTTTATGATTAACTAGCACCAGGGTCTAGGGGGGACAGAATGAATAGGAGGCGAAATGAAGCATTAAAAAATGAACATCTCTTGATAAAAGTTGTGTGCTTTTGTCAATCAAGTTTCTTTCACAGTGTCTACCTATACTTTTTCACAAATATCTGCTCTACATTGAACTCGTAAGAAGACAACTTATAGTTTTCCATGTCCAAAAACTGTGTTTGAGTTCAATGTCCAAGGCTCAAATTCCAAAAAAAGTCAAAGTGAACTTTGTTAATTGTAACACAAACTTAATTATTTATAATAATTAGCTTATATAATAGGATAAGGGTAAAGATCTATAATATAAAGCAAATCTCAATTCTTTAACATCTGTTTATGTTAGAGAGGTTTGACGATTCTTAAAAGCAAAAAATTTTGTGTTTTTTTCTTATTTGTATGTCCTAGTTTATAAAAATTGTAATGCACAAATGCAAAATAAAAAATTTAACAAAAAGGGTAATGTACAGAGAACTTTGTGTACAATTTGTACTTATTTTTTTTATATTTTCAGGACGTTATGTGGGTAGTAGACCCATAAAGCTGAGAAAAAGTACATGGCGCAATAGGTGTATAGATATTGTAAAGAAGAAAGAGAAAGAAAAAGTAGCCCTTTTGAATTTATTGACTTCTGGAAGTAGATGAATCTTTTTATTTTTTACAATATATGTTATAAATGAATGAGTTACATGAGTGTGTATTAATTGATTGTATACTGTATTTCTAAGCTAACTATGTCAAATAAAGAATTGAATAAGTTTTTTTGTTTTTGAATTCTCTGTCAACCTTATTGGAAGCTATTACATTAGAAACAGCAGGAATAAAAGTGAATTGGTTTTTAATTAATATTAAGAGCTGATAACACTATAATAATAGCTGATAACTTACAAGCCCTAGAAAGAATCAGTTCAAGAAAATGCTCCCTTTTGTGTGTTTTAACACAATCTTTCTTTTTCCAAATTATTATATGGTCCTTACCAATTATAAATCTAGTTCTAGAATCACTAATTTTGAGGTCCTCTAAGACCTGTAGCACCACAATGGAGATAATCCGAAAAGAGCAAAAGCAAAAATAGCATAGTGCTATGGATTCTAGGTAAGAATGGCGGTTCAGGCCATAAAAGGTTTAATAAAAAATATAATCAATCATGTAGGCGTGGTGCACAAACGCGCAGCCCGTGGGTACCAGAATGGTGATGAGTTAGATTAAACCTAAGGTATATAAACGAGATCACGCAAGATGCTGAGAGTATCTGTGGTCCCGACTGGAAAACCGAAGTATGTAGCAGGAAACTTAAGAAGCTAGAGGAAGGCGTAAAAGCTGTAACATCACTATGAATATGATCCGAAACGAGCAAATAGGATAAATTAAAAGCAAAAATAAGATAATGAATTCTAGGTGAGGATGATGGTTAAACTCCTAAACAAGGTAAAAAATATTTAATATATGGAGCCCAAATAATATATGAATGAACTGTAAGCTAACAAAAAGAGAAAAACATTATTAAACTGTTAGCTGAATAAATATTATTGCATGACGAGATACAAAAACGAAATTTGTATGCACCTCTGTTCTTTCATTGTTTAAAACACAATTGATAGCTTAGTTATAACTAGGTTTAGATTTTTAAATTATTGTTATAACTGCAAATGTATTCCGAAATTATTTTTGGTCTTTCAACTTCGCGATTAGAAATTCGAAACCCAAAAATTGCCTAACTTTTTTCAACCACTAAATTACTGTCACTTACTGTTTCACAGAATAATATTTTTCTGTGACTGTTTTATGAAAAAAAATTTGTAAAATTATTTTTTTAATAAAAATAAATTATTGAAAAACATCATCACTAATACTTTAAAGTTTATCAATAACGTATTAGTTTCTTTAGAAACAAGATTATTTCGTATTATGTGGTTCTGTATAGTATAAATTATTTATTTATAATATAAATTAATTAACAATAATAATAGAAAAGGAAAAAATATAATTTTTGGTCCTATGTGAGTTATATAACAATATTATTATATTTTTTATTGGGATTCTTTAAGTTCATTTTGACGTTTTGATTTTCACTTCGAAAATTTATGCAAACCATGCAACTTATGAAGTCTCTAGTTGTCAGTGTCATTACACTGTCATTAGCTGTCATTAGTGTCATTTTGTAGTGGATCCATATCAGCAGGATCCTCTTGAATATAAATATTTTTAGTTTTCTTATCTTGAAAAACAATTTTGATAACTATTAATAAACAGTTGAAGAAGTATATTTACAAGTGATGGACCACATTAAAACTCCGAAGGTAATTAACTGCTTTTAATGCTAATGTTATCTTCAGAAATTTCGGCAGGTTGTAATTATATTTCTTTTATAATAATTATTTTTTTAGATTGAAAATGTTCGTATGCTAGATAGGTATTCTAAAACACCCTCTCATGGAACGTTATATGTTACTGCCACTCATTTAATTTTCGTTGATCCAGATGCAAAGAAGGAAACCTGGGTAAGTTTTGTCCAGTTTTGGGAATATATTTCAAGATTAGTAGGCAAAACTCTGAGAACTTGTTTTAATATTGTTTTACTTTTATGATCATTTTTTATGTAAAATTTTATGGATGTTAATAACATTGGTTTTACATATTTGTTACTTTAGGTTCTTGTTATGAAAAAGTGACATTCAGTTTATAGTAATTATATATATATAGTATTATAAATATAATTACTTAAACAACTACAATAGTTTGGAAGATATAATTGGATATTATCAGTAGTTAGTTATAGTATTTATAATAAACAAAAATAAACATACTATTATTTACATTAAAGTAATACTATAATTTCATATTGTAAACATTTAATTATTCATGTTCAATATTAAACATTGAGTTAAATATTTTTTTATATAAGTTTATGTGAATTATAAAAAAAAATTAGTAATATAATCTGGTTTATGAGGCTTTAAATGGAAAGTTCCACAGTGTTGACCTCCTTATTTTACTGCTAAAGACTAATAATTGCACTTTGGTCTTAGCTGAAGATTAGTACAATCAAATAAACAAGAGTTTATAATTTTATTCAAGACTTGGTCCTTTGTCTAATATTTAGATTAAGCTGATACAATAAAAATGTTATCAGTATAATAAGGTTACTGACACAAACATTGCTTTTGGCAAATAATTAAGTAAATTAAGAATTCAATGATATTATTGATAACATGTTAAACATATATTTAAAAATTCTATAAGTAGTTGGTTGTAATAAGGAAGTTTAATGTGAATGTTTCATTATATAGTTTTTTAGTTGATTTTATCCACTTTGATCACCTTACTTTGTAGCTGTTGCTTGAATAAGAAGTTGTCTCTGCCATACCTAAAAACAATAAAAAATAGCTGTAAAGTTTTACAGAATTACTGGAGGCATATATTTAAAAATTCAGATAAATATTTACATAATATATGTTATTGTTATTTATATTTTGATATTGGCCACTAAATTAATGCACATAATTTTTAGCTTCATCATAGTAAAATCATACTTCTATAGCTTATATCAATTAGCTAAAACGAATGCACATTCATTATTGTGAAATCTTACTTTTATAGTATTAGCTGTCATGCATACTTTTGTTAAACAATTTATATTACCTAATGTTTCCATCTGCAAAATTGATTTTTAGAAGTGATAGTGATTTTAATGCTACTCTCTCTCTCTCTCTCTCTCTCTCTCTCTCTCTCACTCTCTTTCCTCTCTCCTCTCTCTCTCCTCTCTCTCTCCTCTCTCTCTCTCTCTCACACCCTCCCTCCCACCGAGCATACATCCCTCCCGCTCCTACCCACCATATCTCTATCTATCTGTAACTTCACAACACTTCGTGGGTTTTCACTGCCTGTACAACTTGTCTCCACCTACTTCAGTCAATCATATCTTCTCGGCAGTTGTGTATTCCCGTTCTTTTGGAACAAAATAAATCTTTTGATGATTGAATGGTTCGATGAGCCATTCTTTATTGGCTCTATGCATATGTCCTGTTTACCGCAATCTCTGTGCTTTTATCTCATAGATGTTGTTTGTTTTTGTTGTACAAGGTTTCCAGTTCTTTATTTGTTCTATTTAGATAGTTTCCTGTTATCTTATAAACTGTAAGGCCATAATATTTTTATGCTAATGATATTACTAAAGGAGGTGGTTCTCTTATAGTAATCAATAATGATTGCAATGTAACTAAATTAAAATTGGATGTAAATAATGTTTTTCCACTCATTGATATTGAATAAAAATAAGACTTTAGCACATTTATTGATTGTGAAGCTTTGTATGTATGTGCTTTGATTTCACAATGTATCTTCTTTTGTATTTAGTACATATGACAGATTCTGTTTAGGGTCAACCCATACGAAGTGGTCCAGTACAAATTAAGTTGGTTGCTTGACTATTTTTAATATTTCTTAATTTTCTACCAATAGTTTATTTTGTTTAGTTTATAGAGTATACAAAATTGCATTAATTTTATTTTTAAAAAATTTATTTTGCCGATGGCGGCCATTTTTGTTTCATCATGTTGATCATTTTCACGAAAAACATGACTTCATTCTTTAGCCAATATTTCCACTTAGATTTGTCCTAGAACAATAGATCAAAAACCAAACTCTTTGTAAAAGTATGCTCTAAAAAAGTGGTCCATAGCATTATTTAATTACAAATTACCCTTAAGACCCTAAATGGACCTCAAAGTTTGAAAAGGTAAACTGATAAAATTCCTTTTCAGCATTTTTTTGAACAACATAAGGCAAGCTGATAACTGTTTGTAATTTTTTTCTGGAAAAGACATACATACATACTTTAAACGAAAAAAGTTTGAGCTTTGAGACTTGAGTCATTTTTTTCAAAAAAAATCTAAAACATGTAAAAATTTGAAAAATTTCAAAGTTTGAGCACTTATATCTCTTATGGGCAAGCAAGTAAAAATTTGAAATTTGGCTGAATGTTAGTTTCTAATGAGTAGAATAAGGGGTAAAAATTTGAAGTTGTAGACTTAAGGCATATAGAAGTTACAGGCCTGAGAATATGGCAAAAAATCATTAATTTGAGCATTTGTGGTAGAGTAATTAAAATTCAAATAAACTGTCTAATGAAATAAAAATTAATCTATTTTCACCAAATTTCACAATAAATACAAATTTATAAGTACTACATTATAGAAATATTAACCTTCATTTAGAATTTTGACAGAAGTTGGGATATTTCAATTACATAAATCTTGATTGAGATATGTTATGATTGCATCCAGTTGCTGTTGTTTTGAGGGTGTGATTTTCTTCAAGATTTTATGAAAAGGCACCCAAGCTTCATCACTTAAATCACAACTTAAATGATGTTCTGGGTCCAGAAGGTTAAAAAAAGTGCACATGGAAGTCATGATGTTCAATGCTGACAGTTTTTATTACCCCTAGCCACCACTTTCGATCATACACACAGGCTATTACATCATTTTCACTTAGGGAAATGGAGATAGCACTTGTTGTGAAAAATTCTAAATATTTAGTTGCCTGGGATGTTTTGACATTTGACTTTATTTTCTGAGATTGGTAATATTGGATGAAAAGAACCCATGCCAGAAATTTTCAAATAAGTTTTAAATCTTTCTTCAAATTGTGATTCATGTTGTAGGATTTCTTCACTTTTAACATAATAATACTGAATACCTTTTAAATTCTGTGAACAGAAATCAAACATATCTTTTGCAGTTAAAATTTGATTCTTACAAGTTTATTGTAAACTGGTTTTAGTAACTTCTCTTTTTGTTGTGCTGCTGATACTAGCGCATGCATTTTTCCCGGGGGCTGTTGAAAAAAAGTGCCATTCCGCCTGTAGACCAAAATCTTGATCATGATGACAGATATTCAGGAAATTTTTTTATTTTCATATTAGCTATTGGCACCATCAGTAAAATAAATTACTCTTTTACATAACATATCTCAAATATCCCACTTTCTGAACTGTCAAAATTTTAAATGAAGGTTAATATTTCTATAATGTAGAATAAATTTGTTTCCTTTAAAATCTCTTTAAAGGAAACTAACTTTTAGAGACACAAGACAGTCCAGAAGAAATGTGTAAAGCATTGAGAAATGCCATAGAAACCTCAGTAGAAAGAAACAGAATAGGAAAGTCATCACTCATTTAATCAGTTAAGTGTTGTAGTAAAAATATTTCTAAATTTAAAACACTTTCATTCTGTAAGAAACAGAAACTCTTATAATTTTATATCTTTTAATTTTAATGTATGGCCTCCTTTGGATTAGGATTTTTTATTGCAACAGTACAAAGATACTCAATGTATATGTTAGAATCAAGGGTTTAATGGTCAGCTATTATGAGTAACCAAGTATTAGTTTATGTAAATAAATGTATGCAATAAAGTAAATATTTAAAGTATTTAATATTTTGTAAAAGTGCAAAAATTGTTAAATGTTATGTAGTAGGTACTATATCTTTTTCAAGTTAACAATATCTTCAATGATACTATATTTAGTATCATTTAAGATGTGTGTGGTTTTGTTTTTGATATAAAACCACAGCTAATATCATATAATACATATTAATTTTTAAGATAATTTCAATTAAGCATTTTATTTGTAATATAATAACCTAATTCTTAGTTTTACTATTGTAATATTACAGGCAAACATTTAATTTATTTGTGCAATATAGCTTGAATTTAAATCAAACTACCCACTAAGTTTACATCATCGTTATATTATATCCCATATAATTCCTGAGCTGGTTCTACAATCTGAGTAATAATCTATCTAACCATTCCCAATAAAAAACAGTAAGCTGCCATTTAAATCAATTCGCCCAAATTTGATTATCTTAGAACATTGTTAAAATGCTAGGACAGATTAAACAGGTCAAATAAAAAAAATAAGTCAGGCAACATTGAACTTTCCCTCTTCTGTTGAAGTTACTATTTCCACTAATGCATTTTCGACGATATAAAGGGCGGACCTAATATACCTCTCTCTTTTTAAACAGGTATTTCTCACTCCATCTCACTGAAGGTCCATACTGAAATTCGCCCTTTATATCGTCGAAAATACATTAGTGGAAATAGTAACTTCAACATAAGAGGGAAAGTTCAATGTTGCCTAACTTATTTTTTTTATTTGACCTGTTTAATATGTCCTAGCATTTGAACAATGTTCTAAGATAATCAAATTTGGGCGAATTGATTTAAATGACAGCTTACTGTTTTTTATTGGGAATATGCCACAATTTTACTTTACAATAAGTTTAATTTAATATTTTGATTTCCACTCCGGAAATACTTTTTATATAAATAAAATGTATTAATGTTTCATATTTTAAGTACGATTTCTGCATTGGAAATGTAAACATCAAAATAAGCTAATTTTAAAATCGCATTGTGCCTTATTCCCAATAAAAATAATAAACTGCATTATGACGCCACAATAAAAAAGCTTCATACAAAATTATTTGGCACCGTCGCGTCGTCAAAGTAACGACAATTTGATTTTTAATACTGTGGTAACAAGCAGAACAGACCTAGTTTGGTATGCCATGCATATTGCATGGGTTCGTGGGTTGGTCTTTCATAAAGCATAATAAATAAAAACAGTACTAGTAAAGTATTAGGAAGGAGTAGTTGTATTATTTTTAAGGAAATATCAAAGCAAATATTTAATCAGTATATTTGAAATCATATTTGGAATTGCATAAATCTCAGTTCATTTTGTAAAATAATCCATTGCCACAATATATTTATTTTCAGCATTCATTTCTGGAAACAGTCTCTTCAATATCTTCATTTTAATAAATTTTTTATTAATTTTATGATAAAACTGGGTATATCTACTTTCAGATTCATCATATGCATATTGCAAGTCTAGAAAAGCTCCCACTTTCAACAACTGGTTCGCCTCTTCTAATACGAACAAAAACCTTCTTGTCTGTGACATTTGTGATACCCAAGGAAAGAGATTGTCACAGCGTTTACGTCACCCTACAACAATTGTCACAACCGGCGAAAGTTGATCAGTTGTATTGTTTTTCATATACTCCTCCTATAGAAGAGATCCAGAGACCCGTGGGGTGGAGTTTTCATGATTTGCAATCTGAATACCAAAGAATGGGAGTGCCAAACGAGCAATGGTGTTTGACAAATTTGAACAAAGGTTATGACGTAAGTATAATTTATTTTTTGAAAGTGTTCATTAGCAGCGCTACATTTCTTATACCTGTCTAACCGTTTAAAAATTATTATTCTCTATTATATATAAATAATTAATTAGAGTGATGAACATTGCTTAAAATACATATATACATATAGAGAAAGGAAGATAATGGTTATTGACAAAAAAACCGTGGACAGAAAGTCTTTCATGTTTAGTAAAAATCACATTTTAGCTCATCAGAACCTTTTTATCCTTGTATTTTATTAAAATTGAAATCAAAAGTTTCCAGTAACATGTACTTTCGTAATATTCAGATGATTCATTCTCATTATTTTGCAACAAAATAGACGGTAATGTTTTAAGGGGCTATTATAAAAATAAAATTAACAAAATTTTTCCTTTAGATGGAAGCAGATTTGTACAGTATGTAGACCAAACAAACAACTCATATTCAACTATGGTGTATACCAATGTATAAACAATGTTTAGTTTCTAAATATTAATTCTCTACAGTACGACAAGCGAGAAATGGCTTGTTGCTTGTTAAAGTTTTGTATTATTGCATAACTCTTTCTTCTTTGACCGTAAAGTGGAAGAGATCTAGTCCCTAACGTTAAATTCACTTCAGTGTTGTGAAGTGTAACTGGACCAGGAACCAATAAAGCCAATCAAATTGACCACATCCTCATCTCAAGGATCTCTACCAGGAATGGACGAAGTTTCGGCAGAATTGTTGAAATATGGAGGACCCGAACTCTGGGTAAGACTCCATTACCTGATAAAGGTGGTATGGACAAAGGAACAAATGCCGGAGGAATGGGCAGTTGTTCTTTTAATCAGAATTACAGACCAATTACATTGCTAAATGAAATATACAAAATCCTTTTTGGCATTATCTACACTAGATTCTCACAGTACTCCGAAAATGTAATTGGTGATTATCAAAATGGATTCAGACTAAATAGAGCCACTACAGACAACATACTCATACTTAGAACAATACAAGAGAAAGCTTATGAATACGGCATAGAACTATATAATATGTATATAGACTTTAAACAAGCTTTTGATAGTGTGAAAAGAGACAAAATGCTGGAAGACATCCGAAATCTAGGATGTCTATACCAAAAAAATATATCAGCCCCATAAAAATGACGTTGCAGTGTTCAAAAGCCGCAGTGAGAGTAGATAGAGAACTGTCTCCCATGTTGATATCAACATGGGGCTGAGACAGGGAGACGCACTTTCAACCATGCTGTTCAACCTAGTTCTTGAAGCAGTCATCAGAAAAACCAATGTAACCGGCCATATAAACACTAAAACAGTGTCAATTCCTGCATATGCAGACGATATCGCCATTATTAGTAGAAGCAAAACACGACTAATGGAAACGTTCAAGGAAATTGATCCTGAAGCACAAAAAAGAGGGCTTAAAATAAACGAAACAAAAACTAAGTGCATGGCCATCAAAAGAACACCTGAGAATGAAAATAATATAGCAATATACAACTATACTTTTGAACGTGTGGATGCCTTCAGATATCTGGGCACAGAAATCAATCAGAAAAATTCCGTACGTAGCGAAATTAATTAACGTATTTCCAGTGACAATCGTACATACTATGCTAATAAAAGACTGATGACATCGAAATTATTATACAAAAGAACCAAAATGACTATCTACAGAATTTTGATTAGATCCGTAGTAATCTATGGTTGTAAAACCTGGGTAATGACGAAAAAAGAGAAAGCTCAACTCAGAACATTCGAGAGAAAGATACTGAGAAAAATATATGGCTCGGTGCAAGAGGAAGACGGCACAGGGAGAATCAGGAGAAACGACGAGGTTAATGAACTGAGTGAAGGGTATGACATTGTAAGATTTGTGAAAATTTCAGCGACGACAACGACAAAGAAGATGTTACAGTGGAAGCCGGTAGAAAGACGGAAAAAAGGAAGGCCCAGGACGAGATGGTTGGATGATGTGGAAGACGACCTGAAAACCATGAATATAAGACAATGGAAGAGAAGGGCCCAAAAGAGATCTGAATGTAAGGACATATCCAGACAGACAAGACCCATCCAGGGTTATGATGCCAAACGAAGAAGAAAGAAGAAGGTGTTTCTTAACGGTGACTGTGATCACCTTTTTTATATACATTAACAGATAGACACAGTAATCGTAAACTAAACAAAACGATTGGGATTACTCTGTATTAGGTAGTACTATAAAAACATATTGCTGAAGTCCATCCACAGTCATTTGAATATTGGTATACTTTGCGCCATACACAAAAAAGGAGATATCTTTGAATGGTTTAACCACAAAGGAATTACGCTCCTAAATGAAGCGTATGAGGTATTCTCCACTATTTTACGTCACCGTATAGCACCATATGCAGAACGAGTAGTAGGAAAATATCAGGCTGGTTTCAGAGGTGGTAAATCATCAATTCATCGGATTGCAACCCTGTGACACATTTCAGAAAAAACAATGGAATTTGGCATATATACTCAACACACATTCATTTGCATAAAAAAGGCATATTACACATTTTTAAACTATCAGATATTTATTAATTGGTTCATGTAAAAATGACAATATAATTTAACCTTTTGTTAATTTAACTAATGCATTTTGTACATATTTCTGTTCAATTATCTGTAATTGTTATTCTTTTCAAACGTAAATAGTTAGTGGACATTCTACAAATGTTTCTGTTATCGCCATTGTTTTCCTATGCGGCCTTATCGGAATATTTTAGTCGCAATAACTTTATTTTAGTTTATATTAATTAAATGCAATTTTTAATGGCTTATTTAACAGTTGCACTGAAGTTGAGGGTCAATGATTGATCCTAATTTACTACTTTATTCATTTGTTTAACTTTTTTTAAAAAACTCTTGTTTTAAATTGAATCTAATACATCTGCCTTTATATTTTATGAATGATTTTATTGATTCAAGATGTTAATATCTATTACGTATAATTTAGTGTTTAATTAGTTGGTGGAGACGTAAAATTTTTAAATACCAGAAGTATATGTTTACATATGATTAATATTGTGTAACAACATTACAGTGAAGTAGAACTAGCATTAAAAAGCACTGAAACTGTAAAACAATATGACTAGATAAGTTTCAATCGGACTTCCTAAAAAATATGTACAACAAGGGAATCCTATGGATTACATCGATATTCAATAAAATCTATAATGCCGGTAAATTACAGCTACAAGGGTGGCTAAAATCTACCTTTGTTGCTCAATCGAAGAAACCTAATACAAATAATTTATAGAATATAGAATCATGAGCTCAACTAGTCATATATTCAAAACTTAAAAAATAATTCACAGAAAAATCTAGAGAAAATACGAAGAACAACTGACATGTACACGGTTTGGTTTTAGGAATGTTATTATTGAATGCAACTGTTTTATAGTCAAATAGCAAAAATCAGGACAGACAACTAACTAAGCCACGATGTAATAAAGATAGCAGCTCTACAAGAGGGTATACTAATAAATGGAGAACGTCGGAATAATTTCAGATGGTCAGACGACATAATAATCTTCGCAGATAGCATACGGTTTGCAGACACTTGTTTCTAAGGTAGCAGAAACGTGTCAAGAACACTGCCTCATATTTAACACTATACAGTGGAACTTGGTTATAGCGTCATTAAAGGGTCCATTGGCTGCGATACAAATGCACATCACACAGTATGGGGTAGCACAGGAATCAATAACAGAGGTGAGCACCTCCTGGACTATATATCTGCTAATAACTTAGATATTGCAAACAGAGGTAACAAACCCACATTTATAAACGCAATAAGGAAAGAGGTTCTTGATATAACCCTAACTAGTTCGTTTATAGCAAATAAAATATACAATTGGCATGTCTCGAATGAAGCCTCTATGTCGGACCATCAACACATAAGGTTCGACTTGGGTGCATCTGAGGAGGGCCTTGAGGAATATCGAGTCTCAAAACAGACCGATTGGGACACTTATAAAGAGTGTCTCGAAAGCGAAATGGAGGAACTCGATACGTCGCTTGACACAGAGGAAAATCTAGACCGAGCCTCATGGCAACTTCAAAATGCCATAATAAAGGCCTATGAATCAAGTTGTCCTCTAAGACACAAGAAAACCACTAGTGATGTTCCCTGGTGGAATAAAGAGTTAACTAAACTTAGAAAAAAGGTCAGACAACTCTTCAATAGGGCAAAATCTACAGGTAGTTGGGACTCCTACAGAAGTGCCCTTACTGAATACAACAAAGAACTAAGAAAATCCAAGAGAATTTCGTGGAGAAAAATGTGCGAAGGGATAACAGAATTAGCCCCTGCACAACTACTCCAAAAGGTTCTCTCAAAAGATCACACAAATGAAATCGGACTGATAAAAAAGCCGAATGGTGACTATACCGAGAGTCTAACGGAAACTATTAGAGAGCTGTTGAAGACCCATTTTCCTGGCTCTCAACAAATACAAGATGAACCGCAAAGTATGCAGCCGGCAGAAGCTCCAAGGGGCCTCAACAGATCCAGCAGGCAACTAGCGGAAAAAATCTTTACACAAAATAAAATCGAATGGGCCGTTAAAAGCTTTAAACCTTTTAAATCCCCTAGTAAGGACGGAATATTTCCTGCTTTACTCCAAAAATGCTTCATGCAAATACAGCCACAACTACAGCGGCTTTTCATAGCAAGCCTTGTGTTAGGTCACATTCCAAAAACTTGGAGGGACGCAAAGGTGGTATTTATACCAAAGGCGGGGAAACGTCCTACGGACGAAGCGAAGTCTTATCGTCCTATATGCCTGACCTCCTTTCTCCTAAAAACAATGGAGAAACTAGTAGATTACTACATAAGAAGCGAAACTTTAGCGAGGAATCCATCTGTAGCAAACGATGAAAACATTAGTTTGCCAGACTGGCAAATCCACTATAAATGCTCTGAATTCGCTAGTCGAAAGAATTGAAAAGACAATAGTGGCAAAAG